CTGGGAGATGTAAGCTGAATAAACCCTTTCCTCCTCAAGTTGGTAGTGGTCGGAGTATTTTGTCACAGCAATGAAGAAACAAACTAAGACACCCCGCACTGGTCACAGTGCACAGCATGAAGTCACTTATAACAAATATTTGTACAACTGAAATAGCTGTACAACAGCCTAGATGCTTTGTGAACATGTGGCAGAAATAAAGAAAAATGTCCTCAGGGTTGGGGAGACAGTTCAACACTTGTCATACAAGCTTGAGGACCAGAGTTCAGATCCTTAGAAAACCAAGTAAATTCCAGCTGGGTGAGGCGATCTGCCTGTAATTCTAGCCTTGGAAGGTGGAGACTGGGAATCCCCAGACCAAGCTGGTTAGCAAGATTGGCCATCTATGTGAACTCTGGGGTTGACTGAAAGACCCTGCCTCAATAAATAAGGTTGGAGAGCAGTTGAGGATGGTCCTGACATCAGCTTTGGGCTTCCACATGCACACACACACATGCGTACATGTACCCACCCACATGCATGCCCACATACATGCAAAAGCATGCATATACACATGCATACACCACACATCCATGAAAAATGGGAAAAAGAGAACGTTCTCAATAGCTTCAGCTGCTGAGGGAAGCTGCAGGGTCCACATTATGTCCCAGTCAAGAATACATACTGTAAGCCAGGCTCTGGGCTCCCAGTGGGCAGAGATTCAACTGTAGACAGAAGAGACCAAGGCAGAACCAATCAAGGACTCTGTAAAGTTCTGTCAGAATGGCCATATTGTTGTCTCAAAGCACGTAGGAAAGTCTCATTTCCTAAAAAGGTCAGTGGGCTCACGAGGAAGAGGTGACTGTTAAGGATTGGTCCAGGTCACGGGTTTCCCTACAGGGGAGGCTACTCACAGTCCACGGTCCAGTTGACGATGTGGAACTGGTAGCTGTTCAATATGGGCCGGCATCCACGCTCCTTCAGCTTGCTGTAGCAGCAGTCATGAGCCCAGCAGCACCTGGTGGCCGGGAGAGGGAAGTCAGGGACTGCACCTGTGTGGGGGGAGGTTAGGGGGAGCTGGCGGGAGGACCTTGGGTGGGAGCTGGAAGGGACTTGCCTGTCTCCATTTGTGAGCCAGAGGCACTGGTGGAGGAGGGTGTGAATTACAGATGCGGCTGTTTCTCTGTGTCCAATGGGGATGGGCACCAGGGACACCCAAGCCCTTGGATGCTCAAGTCCCTTGTGTGAAATGGCACAGCTTTTGCACAGAACCCATAACATCCTCCCGTATGCCTTACATCACCTCTAGATTATGATACAGACTACAATGTGGATGCTGTGTAAATAGTGATTATATAGTGGTGTTTAGAGAATAAAGGCCAAAAACGGTCTGCACGTGTTCAGTATTGACGTAGCCAGGCTCTGGGAGGGCAAACCCAGATGCAGACCTGGTTCCAACTGAGCTCAGAGATGGCTAGGAAGGCGTCTGAGGAGAGAGACCAACTGACATCGGCCTCAGCCCTTTTCCTCAGCTACCGAGCCAGAGGCAGGAATGCAAAAATCTAGGGTTGGCATCTAGGGCTGGAGATACCCAGAAAAATGTGTTGTCCATTCTTGGTGTTCCCTCTGTGAACAAGTTCTTGGCTCTTTGTCATCCTGGGCTGATAGTTTAGGGATCTGAATCTGTCTTTGGACTTGAGCAGGCGAAATACAGGAGGTCCAGGAAAGGGAGTGGACTTAGAAATATGCAGATTTGTGTTCTAGGCCAGGTTTTGTTGCTTTACCTGAGGGTGGGTGGCTGAGAAACTCCAAGTCTGGGATCCTCACTGTTCTTATCTGTATAATGGGTATGATACGGCCTCCTAAATTCACTGTGAGGGTTAAGTGAGGCCCACGTGCAGGTAGGTCATTTGTCCAGGGTTGAGCATGTAATGAACATCTCACAAATGCCAGTGGCTTTCCACGGCTCCATAGCCAAGCCTGGGGTCTCAGGTTCCAGGAGCCATACGCCAAGCCCTGCTGTGAGGACACTTATTCATGTCAAGGAACATTTTCCCTTCTTATTTCTTCAAATGAGATAGGACACATTATTGGGTCTCCCCATCATGCCCTCCCCAGATAACAGCAACCTCCACTTTTTATAGAAACCCACAACCACCCACCCCATCTTTAGGAGTCAGCCTGGAAGCCAGCTTTGTACTGTGTGACCGCCTCCAGATGGACAACTTTTCCAAACTGGGTCACTTGGACTCTATCTTCTAAAATATGGAATTAGGTCTGGGAGCTGGCAGGGCAGTCTTGCTGGGCCCATAATCCTAAAAAGGGGCAGCTGAGCAAAGAGGATGCTTGCCAAGCAAGCGGAAGGTTTCTAGAGCTCTGGGCAGGCCTGATTACTTAACATCTTGGTCCCTCCATTTAAAATATCACAATGGGATTTGGGGTGTTTCTCAACAATATGCTTGCCTAGCATGGGTGAGGCCCTGGGTTTGAGCCCCAACACTCATGATGACTTATGCCTGTGATCTCAACACTTGGAAGGCTGAAGCAGGAGGATCAAGAGTTCAAGGCCAATCTGAACCACATAGTAAGTTGAAGGCCAACGTGAGCTAGCACCCTATCTCAGGATGGTGAAGGCAGCGTAAGCTATGCTGAGGCCCTGGGCAGCTTTGCAGGCCACACACAGGAACCCGGCCCAGCCCTGGCTTCCTCAAGACCCACCCTGCAACCCCCTTCCAGTCTCATGTTGCCTTGAATTGGTTTCTTCTACCGCCATGCAGGAATCCTAACCCCACCTCTGGCTTTAAGCTTGGACTTGGCAGTGCAAATGCAATGGGGGGATGGGAGGACATGGAGGTAGGGGGTGCTAACCTGTCTGTCGCATCCACAGGGATCCCTCTGCCCCCAAGCCCACAGTAGCAGCCATATCCGTAATAGGAGAAGAAGGCACTCCGTCCTGTGATATGTTTGACCATCCTCTGGAGCTGCCAGAAGCTGCTGAGGGTAAAGGCTGTCCCTGCCAAGGAGAAAACAACACACAAGGAAAGTCATGATGTGCCGTCAGAGGGTCCCCAGTACCTCCTGGTGTTTACAGGAGGGCTGGCTGTCCAGAGCCCTGGCACAAGGCACAGGCCTGGCTGGATCATTGTTTCCTTCAAGGGAAAGAACACTGGATCTGGGTTACCCCATCACCTGGTGAGTTTCTTGCTAGCCAGGATGGGGTCCAGGCTCACCAACTGTTAAGACAACACTCTAAGGCTAACTAGGTCTGATCAATGCTAACTGGAAAAGTTCAAAGTCAAAGGTACCAGTCAGCCCTTCCAGGCATCAGACATTTACAGTTTCAAAAAAAA